CATCAAGAAGGCCCTGAGCAAATGTGGTCATCACAGCTGGACATTCGTCAAAGCTGGGAAGGTGCCTAAAGAAAGCTCCAGCTGATCCAGGAGAGGGACAACTGCTGACTAAGGGAAAACCTGTAGTGATCCCTTTTAAAAATCTTTTGTTCCGCAGTCAAAGCTGCCGTCATGAGACCTCCACAATCCTTTAAAAAAGGGGTCCCCAATCCCAGTCCACGAGGGCCGGTGTCCCTGCAGGTTTTAGACGTGTCCTTGATCCATCACAGCTGATTTAAATGGATAAATTACCTTCTCAACATGTCTTGAACTTCTCCAGAGGCCTGGTAATGAACTAATCATGTGATTCAGGTGTGTTGACCCAGGGTGAGATCTAAAACCTGCAGGGACACCGGCCCTCGTGGACTGGGATTGGGGACCCCTGCTTTAGAAGAAAAGCACTGCTGTCTTTGAGCTTTTAAATCGTTTGGCCTCACACAGGGTACAGGTGCGACTCACTTTGTCGTCCAGCTGCTGGTACAGGTCAGTGATGAGAGTCTCGTACTGCGACTTCTCCTCCACAGACAGGGCGACAGGGGGCGGAGCCAAGCTGTCAATCGCTGCTGCTGTCTCGCTGCTGCACTTCTTGTTTCTGTTGCTCAGCTGTTCCTCCACAGGTACAGACTCACCTGGAGGAGTCAAAATTACTGATAATAGAATCAAATCAGGATCCACGAATAAAACATTGACCACATGCTCACATCACAAGAGACGGAGCTGCAGCTGAGAGGCTTATCAGTGAGCTGCCAACAGAAACTAAACAGGAATTCAATCAGACGCAAAACAAAGGCTCAGACACAAACAGCTCAACTCTGACAAAATATTAAGAGACTCTCCATCATAAACGGTTCACACTGACAGCTTTCCTAAACAAACTACTACCACGTGTACAGTATAGCAGCCTCTAGTGGACAGGTGAATAGCTGCATGTAAAACGCTCCCTGGTACTGTCACTGCCTTCTCTAAAACGAGTTTAAAGAGAACTGATCAAAGCGTGACATGGAAACCTTCAAACGGAAACCTTCAAAATAGGGCTGGGCCATATCATACCGTTCATGGTAATACAGGTATAATGTTAGACAATGATAAGAAAATGAAATATCGCGATAGAATATAGTGATACATGCATGCGCAGTGCCTTTGTTTTCATAAGCACATGGCAGAAAAAGCATGGCAGAGAATGAGAAGGGCGAAAGCGGATCGTTGAT